ATTTTGATGAGGTGCCTTTTGTTATCGTTTCATCCATTGTAATTTGTTTTGTTATTGTGTATAATATACCTACCCTGTATAAGGCTTTTTAAAGAGTTCAAATTTATTCCTGTTAATTTTTTTTTTTTCTATGTGCTGATGTGGTACTTCTATAACTTCTCAAAATTACCCTTTTAGTGCAATATTTCAGTTGTGGGAGCTTGTTTTGTCATTTTTCAGACAAGTAGTGTTCAACATGTGTCTTACAAAATGAGTAATCACTAGTAGCTACAAATGAGCTGTAATAACAGGCTTTGCCAGTGCTGTGTATTATGTTTATCGTTAATGCTTCTAGATGTGTCTCAAAATATGCCAAGGTGTGTTAAGATCATAGCGAAACTTTATACACTCAATTTTAGTACACTTGAAAGTACTGTGGCAGAAATAAAATTAGAAGTGTCTGGGATATGGGTTGAAGGAATAATCTGCTGGCTTTCTGACTGTATATGCTAATATAAACAAAGTACACGTACTTAAATTTTCTCACACCTGTGACAAATACTTAGATTTAAATCTCTTTATCCTGAATTCACTCTGCTTTGTCATGTTTTACAACCTTTGGTACTTGACATGAGGCACTTAAATTTCTGCAGTATTTCGGTGCAACTGCAGCATTGTAAAAGAAGGTCAAAAGCAGCACACTACAGTTTTTCCCTGTGTATGTGCACATGCATGCACATACATGTAATTCTTAGGTGAGGAAGTGTGGGTACTATATTTTGATGTATATATACATTTTAGGGGTAAATGAATTATTCCTTAATACAATTTTTACCACATCACAATATGCTGCCATTTTGCAACTCATTTTTGTTGGGCTTTATAATTTTAATAAAGTACACAATGTTGGGATTGCTAACTCCAGCTTGATTATCCTTTTCAGGGGTTTATTGTGAGCAGCTTTTTGGTTGAATGAGCAATTTTTTCATCTGCAGGCAGCAGTGATGTAGTAAAAATACATAATAAAATGAGTGTTGCAAGATGACAGTTTAAATTGCTGTATTATTATTTTAGTTTTCATTTGGAGACTTTGTATGTCACTGTCTGTTTAAAATGCAGATTTCTTTGAACACCCTTTCTGATGTGAATTTGGAAAAGATTTTTAACAGCATACTTCATTCTGTAATGCTGAACATCATGTTGCAGCCAGTAAGCATTAGATCTAGTATTTGTAGTTTACAAGTGTCTCTTAAATACATTTCCACATACTCCTGCTAGCTTTAACATAATTAAAATTATCTGGTTTAACATCAAAGTAGTAAGAAAAAAAATTTGTTTTCTGACAAAGTATTTATTTGCACTACTTACGAATACTGGAGTTTACTGGGACAGGGTTTTTTCTCACCATGTGAGGTTTACTTGTGTGTGGGTAGGTACATACGTTTGTCACGTGTTGACAATCAATTGCCTCAACTGTGTGTATACTATATGTAAATATGAACATATTTTTCAAGATTAAGTGGGAAACCTGCATCTTAATGGTGGTAAAGCTACTCTGTAGTAAGGTGACCCCAATTCTAACCCCTTTTTGTCTCCAGATACTATGTGGCTTGTTTTACTTCTTTAAAGAAGATTATTAGTGTTCTTGGAAAATTTTAGCTCCAGGGAAATTTTCCTCAATATTTAATGTATAACGTGTTCAGAGAATTATATTTTGAAAAATTAATTTTGGAATAGATAATTCTATGCTATGGCTGTATTTTAACCTAAGAGTTTAAACTTGTCCTATTTTATCATGAACCAATGGCACTCTCTTTTAAGTGTTCAGCATTTTAACTTTGTTCACAAACCAGAATTTTTTTTTATCTTGGCTTACAAATTCCAATTAATTTGAAGACTAGATGAGAACCAGGAAGAACTTTTTGAGTAAAGTCATAAAAATCAAGCAGTACAGACTAGGTACTGTACTCATAATCCTGGAGGAGGTGTGGAAAATGTAATGAAACCTGCTTGAATGAAATGTATGTACTGTGCACAAAACAAAATGATGTTTCTGATATTAGCAAATCAATCTCATCTTTAAATTCTGCAGTTCTCTCATTGCCTTTCTTATTCTCAGTACTGCTACCTTGGCATGTTTTACATAGCGTTAGAGCCATTAGCTGGGTCTCATTTGCAACAGCCATTTACATCATAAGAATAGTTTGCATCAGAATAGTAAACATGTCCTTTTATTTAAATTCCTTGTTTAGGATAATTGCAGGGCTAAAGTTGCAAAATATCATTCCTTTCCAAGCGTGGTAAGCAAAGAAGCCAGATCCTCTGTACTTGCATTGTATTCTTGGTTTAATATCAAATTGTTCAATATTTTATATTTTCTTCAGTATTTTAAATGCCGTTTGTTTGTAGCATATGGGCCTTAATATCTCTTGTTTGTTTGTTTTCCCACTGGCACTCAGATAAACTTTGCTGTAGAAAGATTTTATCTAAGTGATTCAAGGTAGCAGATCATAACATGGGTGTTGTGCTAGTGAATACATGTATCAGTCTGTTAAAATTTGCATGTTATAACCAGCTGCAGAGCCAAAAGACTCGCCTGCCTTTTACACGGTGGTGGAAGACAGTTGAGATCTGTGAGTGGCTTGGTCTGTCAGTATCCTGAAAACAATCAGTAAGTGGATTTTGCAAGACTGATATATAAGAGGATTTCCACATAGTCATTATGAAATTTTATTTAAAATAAATCTTGGAGCAAGATCTAAAAACATAACAGCTAGCCATTTTGGATGAGCTTGGGCAAGTGTCAAGGTCTGTGACATTAAAAGTTCAGAAGCAAGCTGTAGAAGTCTAAGGGTACCTTAGAGCTTCCAGAAATGGATCTACTAAAAATCTGTCCCATGTTATTTATCTGTATTTAGGATTACCATTTTTGTTTCTATTTTTAAATTTCTCTTCCTCTAGGCTACCCCCCTCCCCTGAATTTTTTTTTTTTTTTACTGTGTTCATCAGATTTTACCAAAGGTAGTATTGGAGGACCAAATGAATTTAAAATGGGTCCATAAATTATCCCTCCTGTCATAAAGGATTACTAAGCTGTTCCTGAGAGGAGCTGTTGATGGGAACAGATGTATAGTAAAACTGCGTAAATCCTTGCCCTACATTTTAGCTTGTACATGGTGAGCAAAGTGATGAGATCAACTTCTATTAACCAATTACTTGGTTGTGACCTCCAGTGTTTTACAGTTGGTGAGATATAAGTAGTTCACAGCATGAGTACCTTTGCATTCTGATAGAACTCTTTAAAGCAATTCAAATTTTAACTCTTGAAAAGATGGTTAGTCACTCGTTAAAATGTGGTATAGAGTTCACACAGGTTTTTGGTTTGAGAGGGTGAAGTGGTCTGGGGAGATTTCTGTTTAGGAGTATCTCCTAGTAAACTGACTGCGGTGCTTTGTCATGGGTACTTCCTTACAATTTGGTAGTTGATCCTGTGTGTTTGCGTCCTCATCCTCCCCAGAACTGATCACAAAACAGAAAAAATAGTATGAATGAAGCAACCTTTTACCTTTTGTTCTAAAATGAGGACTTGGGAGTGACAGAAATACTGGCTATTGACACTGTTCTTTCTGTTCAGGCAGTTGTTATTGTTGTGCTAGACTTTCATGTTATCTATGAAAAATGCAAGTAGTAAAAACTTTGTGGCTTCAAGTATACAGTAGATGTGAGTTAACAATCGCTCAGGATAAACCAACTTGTCAAAGTATTAATAGATTCCTAGTACTGGGGTATGTCTGTGTTTTGTGTGCCAGTGTTCAGTGATTATTTTGAAATGAGATTTTACTGTTTTCTTGCAGATAGTGAATACTTTTGGGATGGATATTACTAGCTGGTTATTTATGGAAAAATACCATATGATTAAATAAAATTGAGTCATTTTTTCCATATCAAAGATTCCAGGAAAAAGCTAATAAAGATTTTTAATAATTAAATCAGATACTCTTAATACATTTTAGATTTACTATGGTAGCTTTTATTTGCTATATATAAAAAAAAACCCCAACTACTAAATTGAGGTACCCCATGCTGCATTTTTTAAATTTGTAATTCCTGTACTTTACAATTAATCTTTTGATCTCTTTTCATCCTGGTAAAAATACAGGATATACTGTCGATTTTACTAGCGAAAAGAAACATTCTGCAAAAGTTAAAAGATTATTTTCTTACTTTCTTCTGTCATACCAGGTTTGTTTCTCTGAACTAAGGTTTCTGAGGATTTTTACTACTTTAGCATTATGTAATCTTATATCTATGTCGTAGAAGGAGCATACATAAGCAGCCCACTTCTTGTGGACAGGCAGGCTAGGTGAAAGGACGTGGATTGGTGGTGTGAGCTCCTCTTCACCAGGTTAGCCCTATGTGCTGGTGTGAACCCCAGACGTTCCAGATTCAGTACTGGTGAAGGACTAAACCAAACGGGTTTTTAATAACTGCGACCTCTGCTGTATGATGTCCTTTAACCTGGGACCAGGGAAAATCTTCATTCTTAGACCTGAAGATGACACGTATTGATCATTTTATCGGTGCATGTAAGCCATTATCTTAACTGTCTTACTGAGCTGGTTAATGCTGTTGACTGTTGTTGAAATGTGAAATGTAGTTACTATTGACTTTGTAAATACCTGCCAGAGATGAAATATAATTATTTTAAATCATTGTAAATAGAGATGTATAAAACTCGACACAATCTGCAATGCAGAAAAAAAAAATATATATATATATAAATATACAAAGATGTTAAATAAATATTGTGCTGTTTCTGAACAGGAATGAATAATTTGTGAATTGCTTTTTTTAAAAAAACTTTGATTTACGTTGACGTGGGTGAGTAAACGCAAGGTACGCCTGCAGGGTTTCATAGTTTGGACACGGGAGTGCGGGGCGGGAACTGCCTCCGCGGGTTCATCTTGGCGGTTGGCGCCTGACTGTTTCTCCGGAGAAGCGCCGGCAGAGGGGGGCAGGCAAGAAAATACTACCCTCATTTTAATGAAAAAAGTGCTGTAGGCAGCCAGGAGCAGCAATGACAATCCCCTCCCCAGAATTGATTGCACAGACTCAGAGAGGTCCAAAGTCACACTAGAATCTCTGAGGCACTCCTGGTTCTGAGAAAGAAGAGTCATGATCCAGTAGTCTTTGCAGTACCGTAGACCGAGAAAACAAACCCGTTTCTGTTTCTTAACAAAGCCAAAGCATCATCTCATAGGGATCACATTCACCATTTCCGCCGGTGTCTCCAGTCTCACAGTGTTGAAATGGGACTGATCAGCCTACGATGGATTGCACATCACCCAAGGAGAAAGGAAGGCATGGAAAAAGGCATACAGTACATTATATACTGCTTCACAACCATGTTTACAAGGAGAAGGGGAGGGGAGGATGAAGGGAAGAATTATTGCTGTTTCAGTAATACAGTATGATAACTAAACCAACTCAAACAAGATCACAACAGTCAGTATTTTCACACTGCAGGGTGATGGTTCATGTTTTGCCTAAGGATGAACTTGCCTGGGGATTCAGGGGAAAGAGGGAGTGCTAAGGAAGGGAGTCAAGGTTACACCTGGGATATCAGCTGCATATTGAAACTTGGAGATCGAGACTGCTTGGTTAGGGGAGCTCCTGGGGGAAGGAGATCTTTACCTTCCCCAGCTTGACCTAGTCGGTCCTCCTGTAGGCTGATAGTTGAAAACCGATTTGTGTTGACAGCTGCTAGATTGGTAACACCCTCTGTACCAGCTCCAACACTGGAGCCTGCTTGACTGCCATTCACATAGTCAAATGATTTACTGGAGGAAGCACTGGCGGTCCTGATCAGGCTCAAACTGTTGGCTTTTGGCACCACCTGCCCAGCAGGCAGGCTGAGGTGTTTCTTAGTAGGTGTCATCTCAATTATATCTGCACCAAGGTCAGTAGATTGGTGCATGTACTGCTTCCGAGCTACTAAATCTCGAGGGCTCTCATTGGATTTTGCTGTAGAAGAGGTTTCTTTATCCTTAGCAGAACGCCCACTTGCTGTTTTCCTTAAGCTGCCCTTCTGGGATACAGATGATAGAGGTTTGGTCCCAACTG